CATTATTTGTGAGCACGACCCCTCCACTCTTAATAAGTTGTTAGACAATGCTCTTGACTTTAATGGATATATAATCGCATTATGCATATCTATAACTTGGGAAAAGCCAGTCTATGTCTTTACATGACCGACGTCAACAAGCATACCGTATGTTACAAGGCAGTTCAGCAACCTATCTATATATCTACCTAAAATTATCCATATATTTACTCATTTGAATAATTTGTACGCTCCAAATTGGGCAGGTGTATATCACGTTTATTGTAAACTTAACTTATTGCATATCACCAAATGAACTGACATTCAAAATTAAATATCCGAAATACACGGTATCCATGGCATACTTCATTGAAAGCATGCAATACAAATTGCGATGTTATTTAGTTTTGATATGTCTGGTGCATATATTATTGTTTTGAGTTATCCAGAAACTTCATTAATATCCAATATAGCCGATATGTAATTTTAAAACAACAATGTTTATATGAATAAAGTGCGTTTCGGTTACTCCGCTTTATGATGTCATATCCTTTTGTATCCTGTCCTGCACAGAGAGATTATAAAAGAATAGAGTGGGCAGCAAAGGTTCAGGCAAATGATTGAAGAAATTCAAGCTTGCTAATGCGGGCTAATTTGAGTTATACCTGGATGTAAAACCAATAAAATGTATTTTTCACCTTTTCCCTACAATTCAAGTATTCAATCCTGGTTTTATCAACAGTCCTAACTGTTTTACACTTGTTTTGAGGCGCAAAATTTAGGAATTTCCGCCTTGTAGTAGTAGACCTCCTCCCCTGAGTTTATCAAGTCTCCTATATGCCTCCCCCCTTAAGTCTATCAAGCTTCCCCCACCTATGAACTTGAAGCACAGCATTATATTTCTGGCCCTTCAGATATTGTTATGAAACTGTTTTTAGGCTAGACTTGCTCCAAGTCTCTCTTTCATTGTCATATTATTAGTATCGATCCACTATAGTGTACATTACATGACGCAGTACAGAGGGCCTATTGAAACATTGCAGAAGGAAATGGTACATATCGAAAAGTAAATTAATTAAGTATTAATATATTTCCTTGCTTTCAAATGTCGTACACCACAAAATTTCATGGTATCTTAATATCTAGATCATCATGTTGATTATGTTATAACATTTTAACTCAAAACGACCTGGAGCGCTCAGGAAATAAAGACCAGAACTAGCACTCATATCCAGGCCCCTAAAACGGATTTCCGTTGCCACGGTCATGATCTGAGAATCCGCCGCAGGTTCAATTCAATTCCTGCCAAAGAGGTCCATTCTCTACACTTCATATCGATAGTATAGCTAATAAAAATTCAATAAGTCTGGGGTTATTCCAGGGCTTGTTTCTTCTGCAGTAAATGTAGAATGTTGTTCTCAGACATTTTTTAATAATATACATTCATCGTTCATTTCAAGTGTTCGTAATAATCTACAAAGTCTGTCAATATCTCAGCTCAGATCTTAGATGTCTGTATCTTTCTCTCTTGCGACGTTTAGCCTTCGTACAATTGGTTTCGTAGGGAACAGTTAATTCAACCACATATACAGAAACCTTAAAATCCACCACTATGTCAGGTCTTAGCGTTCGAAATAAAGTTGAAGTACACGTCGTACCTGAATTAGGACAGTCCGCGAAAAGTCGAAGATCTGCACCAACTGCGACTTTTAAGACTAAGTGATGAATAATAGTCATCAGAATCGAGTCATGCCGCCAAGTATAGCGTTGTTGTTCTAGGGCTACCTTGCAATTGGAAAAAACGTGTACCTGGGTTTGTAACTTGTTGCACTACTCACAGTTGGCGGATTCACGAATGTTCCAGCGCTTTAGATTAGAATTATTTCCTAAACTTAAAATTAACGCTCTCCTAGCAAAGCATACACTATATTGCTGGGCATTCGGGTGACAATTTCGTGCCATACTTTAATCATCTTCTATTCTTCTTATAGCAAGTATCAGTTAAGCAGGTAATGATTTATTTATTTATTTTTCATTTATTTATTAGTTTCGCCATATTACAATACACAAAACTATAACAAGAACAAGAATATACATGACTATAGGCAGGGTGACCGTAACAGCGTGAGCCAATTACTGCGGGCCCGAATTAGGACATACAAACATAAAAAAACTATCTAAATAAAACTATAACTAATAGCAGCACTTAAGAGGCTGAACCAGAGTTCGAGCGGTATTACACTTGGTACACTAAACTAATCCAATTATCCAAATCAATTAATAAATAAAAATATATTTTTCTCTAGAAAATATTTAAACGTGTATAACTCCTATACAATTTACTTGCATATTTACATATACAATCTACGATAAATATAACCCATAATTTCTTCCATAAATTACCACGTGGAAATATTTCTTACAAAAGTGTTCTTCGGAAAAAAACGTCATGATTTTTTTTGTCCTTTCTTACATAATATTTTAAAAGAAAAAAAACCTACCTATACAAAAGTTAACAAGTAAGAATAACAGGAAAAAATGAAAACGTTTACAAAATACCATAAATTTACAAAGATACATAAAGCTTCTTCCTAATTTTCACCGAGCGAATTACTTTTGTTGAAAACAACTATTTAAATGAACGGTACCTTTGGTGCAATATTATCTTTTTTCGTCGAGTGGGAACGTAAAATTCGCAGCGAGACGTACTTTGGACGAGGTTACTCGAAGTTTCGACCGTTCACTTGAGAACGTTTCTAAATTTCTCGCTTTTCCCCTTTTCTCCTGTCCAGCAGGAGAATGAAGGATAGTGTTTGCTGGATCTGAGACAGTGGTCCTCTCGCACGAGGCTTTGTCCTGGGCACCAGACATCGGTGCTACATGCTTATCTAGATAGACAGACGGATCAATCAGGGATGAACACAAGCATTTTAGTCTATACTACCGCTTTTTTTTCGGAAGAAGATTGAGTTTTAGTATATAGGAGAACACATTTTATATAATAACTACAGTGAAACACGAAATTTGATTGGTCACTATAAGATTGTCTGATCCTGCACGGAAAATTTAAATACTTTCGCGCCATTCTCATTCAGGAAAATTTTTGCACAGACAGAAAATTTTGTAAAATGTGATTGGCCGACACAAATTTTCCCTCGGAAAAAAATTTGAAGTGAAAATTTTCAACTTTTAACAATGAGATTTTCAGAAAATTTTCTAATACGTTAATAAAGTTATATTATTATATAAAGTATAGTGCTTTAAATAGTATAAATAGTATAAATACCAGATTTATTTCTCCTGTTGAACATGATATCTCACTCGTTCGCTGCGCTCACTCGTGAGATATCATGTTCAACACTCGAAATAAATCGGGTATTTCCGCGCACCCATGTATTATTCTCTATATAAAGTTACCGTTTCAATAACGTTTAAATATATTGTAAAGTTAATCGTTGTTTCACTGTAGTTATAAAATAATTACCAGATATTTCTGAACATCATATATAAGCATTTACCTTTCTTAGAAAAAACTTCTTCAGTGCTTCCACCAATAATCCTTACACTGAGCATATCTGTTGGAGAAAATAAATCAACGATTTACTTAAAATGGGAGAGTTATCTCTTAGTGTTACAGCTACAGGAGAGAACCTATAAACTAAACCAACTTTGTTTATACTGGATAGCTCCACTAATTCGAAGCTGTTCTCCGCAGAGGTACTACAGGAGGAAACCCTAAACTAAACTAACTTTATTTATACTATAGATAGCTCCATCAGTTCCAAACTGTTCTCTCTAGAGATCCAGTAAGGATCATCTCTTATTGATCCAGGGTTACTACAGGAGAGAACCTAAACTAAACTAAGTTTATTTATTCTTGGGTTTCACTACGGCATTGTGCAGTGAATCTGACGGGGGTGAACCTCAAATGCATTGATGCTCATGCTGTACTGGAGTGAGAAAAATGATACGAAATTCCACGTATTGGCGCCAAACACAAGGCTAATACATAAAACGAACAATCGACTCACGCTGACAACTGTGTTTTATTTTAGAGTTGACCCCCCGTCACTTTTGTGACGTCATATGAAACCCAAGAATACTGGATAGCTCCATTAGTCCGAAGCCGTTCTCTCTACAGGTCCAGTAAAAGTAATCTCTTATCGATCCAGTGTTACTACAAGAAAAACTTAAACAAAATTACATTCATTTATGCTGGATAGTTCTATCAGTTCTCCCCAGAGGTCCACCAAAGGCATTTCTTATTGATCCACTATTATCACATTATTACAGAAGTCACACAGATACTAAGAGTCAAACTGGAAGCACTCTCCTGATCACATGTGACTGAGGAGAAATTATACTCAGACAACTGTATATTGCAGGAATGAAACCCTGGACACAGAGCTGAAACACACATGCACCACTAAAATGGCAAGGCGGTCATCTGGAAAATAGAGCATTTTGATTGGTTCCTGAAAGGTCGGAAACCAACAGTACGGACCGCTCAGGTTTGGCGGGAAATTCTGACAGTATCTTTCCAGTGGCAACGAAGACGACTATAAGTTATAAACATGTTTGAACATTTTGTTGTTTTTTCTTGCCAGCCAATAAAAATGTAAAGACTAAATTATTAAATCAATTAGACATTTACCGGCTTTATTGAAAATGTTGAAATGTTGTAAACAAGTTGTGTTTTGAATTTTTTGTGTGTTGGTGTAATGTACTCAGGTGAATGTGATGTTTGTGATGTTACTCTGAGTGTATATCCACACCGGGCAAGCTTGAGAAATATGCCTGAATGTTATTAAAGATCATTTTATAAGGAATTTCTCTTTTTGTTTTCAGCCATATAATAAATAGCTTATTGACTGAGCTTGTTCGGGGCTCAGTCAATAAGGTTCGGGGCTCAGTCAATAGACCTTTCCGGGGCTCAGTCAATAGACCTTTGAAGTGTAATTTTGATCTAGATAAGTCTGGACAAAAAATTCATCACAGCTTGAAAGAGCATCACAAAATTAGTAATATGCCGAAGTTTCGTTGCGAAATGTTGTAAAATGCGGATAATATAGCCTTGCGAATCAGATGATTAAACTGATTATCAATTTCCCGTTTGTAATGCATTTAAAATGACTGAAAAAACGGCAAACTTCGCAGGGCTATATTATCCGCATTTTCCGGAATATTACTAATTTTGTGATGCTCTTTCAAGCTGTGATGAAATTTTTGTCCAGGCATATCTAGATCAAAATTTCACTCATAAGGGGAAAGGTCTATATAAGGTTCGGTCCATACAAGCGGAAAAAAGAACTTGACCAGTATCCTGTACGGACCTCTCGCTCAGTCAAGAACATATATGTACTGACCGGAACAGACTCTTTGAGGGATTGCTCTTTGAACAGCAATAACAACTTTTTCCGGACCACTGCCAATAATTCTCGCTACATGAGGAACCGCGTTGACAAGTGAGGATAACTTGGTATAACCGTAGTCAGAGACGATACATGGTTTAGAGTACATCTGTTGATAAACAGGAGCAAATCGACTGAGGGAGAGACATCCACCGCAGGTTTCTAGCAGTTTCTGGGTTTCCATTTCAAAACGAGAGATGAGAGACAAAATAATATGATCAACGTTGTTTTCGGAGTTTGTAATCTAGAATGACAATTGCATATCAAAACCTCAAAATATTGTAGAATGCTACTTTCATTCGACTACCACGTTTGAAATATCTTTTCAGATAGTTCAGACACAAACCACGACAGCAATATTGTAGAATACTACCTACACTGGATTCCCATGTTTGTAGCTCTTACCTCTATAAAACCATTCAATTTATCCTCGAGATCCTCTAGACATAACAAACCATGTGATTTCAGACTAAACGTCTTCTGAAAATATTCCTCATATCGTTTTGGAAGTTCATCCAGTGTTATATAAAGATCGTCAGTTGCAGCCAACAACTGCTTCAGTTCTTCAACGAGTACACGAATGCAGTAGGAACGCCTTAATTCCGCCATCTCCTCCACGTCTTCGTTTCGGACCTGAATAATGAAGAGACAATGGACGAACATTCTGATCACTGGATCATGACTGGATGGTATGGAGAACAGTGGGATTTTCAAAACAATGAAAAGACAATGGAACATTCTGATCACTGGATCATGACTGGATGGCATGGAGAACAGTGGGATTTTCAAAACAATGAAAAGACATTGGAACATTCAGATCACTGGATCATGACTGGATGGCATGGAGAACAGTGGGATTTTCAAATCAAAGAAAAGACAATGGAACATTCTAATCAATGGATCATGACTGAATGGCATGGAGAACAGTGGGATTTTCAAAACAATGAAAAGACAATGGAACATTCTAATCAATGGATCATGACTGGATGGCATGGAAACAGTGTGATTTTCAAAACAATGAAAAGACAATGGAACATTCTGATCAATGGATCATGACTGGATGGCATGGAGAACAGTGTGATTTTCAAAACAATGAAAAGACAATGGAACATTCTGATCACTGGATAATGATAAGATGACATGGAGAACAGTTGGTTCGTTCTCATTTTAAATATTCTCAGTCAATTTACAAGAACCCAAACAAAGACATACCACAACACAACTGGGGAAGCAGTCCAATCTTGCATCATCTTCCATAATGTTCTTATTCTTACAAATATTTTGTTGATAGAGACATTGAAACCTCTCTCTTGGCAAAGTGTATCCTTCACATTGATACAAGATCTCGACGGCAGTTTTCACAAACAGAAAGTCAACCTTGCTTTGACTTTCTTCTTCCGTACTGTGGAAAATCCCAATGACACGGTCATTTCCAGTGCCACGGATCTGGGAATATAAAATGACAACTTCATGTAGAATACAGTAGTACCTACACTGGACCCTACCAAATACACTATTTGAGGTATCTTCTTCAGGCACTTCAGAGACTGCTTACATTGAACCCCCAGGTTCGAGGTATCTTTTTCAGGTGGTTCAGACACAAACCACGACAGCTTATTGTAGAATACTACCTACACTGAACCACCACGTTTGAGAGATCTTTTTCAGGTAGCTCAGACACAAACCGCGGCAGCTTATTGTAGAATACTACCTACATTGAACCACCACGTTTGCAATATCTTTTTCAAGTAGTTCAGACACAAACCACGGCCAGCTTATTGTAGAGTACTGCCTACACTGGACCACCACATTTGAGATATCTTTTTCAGCTACTTCAGACACAAACCACGGTAGTTTATTGTAGAATACTACCTACATTGAACCATCACGTTTGAGAGATTTTTTCAGTTCATTGTAAAATACTACCTACACTGGACCATCACAGTTAGCCATACCTCTAAAGGTTTATCCAGGCTCTCTAGGGCTTCATTCAACAGCGATATTTCGTAAGGAAACTTTCTGCAGAAACAATCTTCGTACAACTTGGAAATATTTCTCACACAAACCAATTTAGTTTCTTGAGCATTCACTATCGTCATTAAATCTGTCTTGACCTGATCAACTGAGTGAATAGTTTCATGAAGGCGTAAAAACTCGTCCAAGTCTTTCTGTTGGGACGATTCTTTATCTTCTAAAAGAAAGCAAGGAAAAATATATAGTACTGTTCTTTATCTTTATTTAAGCTTTCTTTTGACACATGAATAACACACATACACTATTACACTTGAGAAACGTATGGACAACATCAAACAGGTGCCAAAAGAGGCGAAGCACAAACGAGACCAGGTCCCATGCAGGGTGCTCACCACTAAATATTACAGAACAGACAAAATTACAAAATATATGAATAGAAAAGAGAAATGGAAGGTTAGAAGCACAGTAGATGAAAAGAGCGAAGATGTAGAGAGGGTTACATTGAGGAGTGGAAGATATCAGTTGATCGTGACCAAAAAGTGCGAGATAGGTTCGTCAGGAGTGTAAACAGTGGCTGTTAAGTGGAGATAAGTCTTGTGTAGGTATGTTTTAAAGTTAGAAAGAGTGTACAAGTATGTTGCCCACAGCGGTGTGCATGAGTAAAAGTAACAGTGGAAAACTTCCATATTTCTATGCCTTTGGGTTGTGTTAATCATCCTTACTTGCAGCTGAAAGTTAAGCTGACTTATGAAGCTGATCCAATCGAAGGCTTTCTAAGGGTGCCTCAGGCAGCCACCTTATGACTCATGTCTGATCACGGAGCACAGATACGGTGGAAGGGTCAGTTAGGGGTTAATCCCAACCCACCCTGTCAACATTCCCTGTGGGAGGAAACCAGAGAAATATCACGATTTTCGGTAGAGCGTTGACTCTTTTCACATAAGTGTCATGAGTCCGCAGCGAGAATCGAACCCATGATCTCAGAATTGAAATTATACCAGTGTACGGCTAGGACATTCAGAACTCCATAGTTATTACTTACTTTCGTGAATAAGTGTAACAGTTCTCTGGTCACCAACGCCTTCAATCTAAAGAAGTCAAATTATAAAACGGTCAACTCTAACACTCAGATGTATTAAATAATGCTTAGATGTATATACACGTATAAAATGTACACACTAAATTTATATCTACAAAAACATTTAATCCTATCTAGAAGGCCTATAGTTGCATTTTTCGCACCTATTCCAAAAGTGCAACGAGGACAGCTATTAATATCACATTAATGCAAGAAAATGAACAAAAATGAACAATTAAAACCCCACGGACGTTTTAGACGTCGCCGTCGCTCTGTTTACAACGGCAAAATACAGATTATCACGTCTTGTATACAACGCTTACATTTCAAGCTGGCACAACTGCTATTTTAAATTGGGTCCAGGAACTTTTCTTAATCATAAACCCTGTGTCAACCTTGATCCTCAAACTGTATTATTCGATGGATAATAGACGACAGGTTTTCGTCTGCAATCATTTGGTTCAACGAGTTTGTCTGCCGTCGCCTTCTCGTCCTATACATGCTTAAGGACGCTATTAACCCGACTCTTATTACCCCCAAAATCTCCCCCCTTACCAGTGGTGTAACTTTACTTTTTTGACCACTTGCCCTCAGGGCAAGTTGGACATGAAAATTAGTTGCCCTAAATAAAATTCACATGCTATCAGACAATGGCTACTGGGGTACCTAGGTAGGGAGTATAAATTAAGGGGACAACATGTTGACCCGTTCACCCACTGTTCTATATGGCTGTATGTTGTACTGCCTCAAATCTAGCTTTGGCTCACAAAAAACAAAATTTGAATCAAGTATACATGCACTATAAAAAATTTATCCGACAATGAAAATATAAACTTAAAGATGCCCAGCTTTTTGTGGCAAGGCAACTTGCCCAATCGGGCAAGCAAGATAAAACAGGTATACCTGCCCGTCACGATATTCATTTGCCCCGGGCAAGTTTTAAGTTAAAGTTACACCGCTGCCCTTACCCTCTAACCATGATCCTAACTCACCTCAGCAACGCTAGAAACCGCCTTAATCAGATCTGTAAGACGTGTGAACCCGAACGAAGATAGTTTAAATTTTTGTCCAAAATGCTTGACATAGGAAGCCATAAAGTTTGAGAGAAGAACACTATAATGTGATTGATGACTCAGAAGATCTGATAATTCTTTCTTGAATAACTTGACCCGATACTCACGAACAAGACACACATAACTCTCCACTGCCTCCTCTTTCACCTAAAATATATAGAGCAATTAAAACTGACCTAACTTTATTTATACTGTTATACTAGATAAGCTATTAACTTCCCCACGAAAGAGATTCTGCTTATATTTTTCAGGTAGTTTTTTATACTTCACATGCACCGCCGCTTTTTTGTTGTCGTCACTACCTGGCACATCCAAGATTTTATACTGGATTCATGATCAGTTCCAAATGGTTCCCTCTATAGAGGTCAATAAACCTATACTAAACTAAACTAACTTTCTTTACACTAGATAATTCTGACGGTTCTATGAACTGTTCTTTCTAGAGGTCCAGTAAGTGATATCTGTTTTTGATCCAGTGTTACTGCAGAAGGAAATCTAAACTAAAGTGACTTTTTTATACTGGATAGCTCTAACAGTTATAAACAGTTCTCTCTAGAGGTCCTGTAAGGGCTATACCACTTTTTCATAAACAGTGTTGCTACAGGAGGAAATCCTTTTATTAAAGTGACTTTACTTTATCTGAATAGCTCTATCTAACTGTTCTCCCTAAAGGTCAATTAATGATCATCTCTTATTGATCCAGTGTTACTACAGAAGGAAACCTAAATTATAAACGAACTTTATTTATACTGGATAGCTCTATCGGTTAAAAACAGTTTTCCCTAGAGATCCAGTAAGAGTCATCTCTTATTGATCCAGTGTTACTACAGAAGAAAACCTAAACTAAAAGAACTTTCTTTATACCAGATAGCTCTATCAGTTCTAAATTTCTTGGCCTTGGTTTTACTTCAAGAGGCAAACTAACCTAAACTAACAGTTTTTGATCTGTTCTACATAAAAGTCCAGAAAAAAACGTAGTACCTTGAGAAAATCTGCAGTGTTTGGCAGAATCAAACTGGAAGCACTCTTCTCATTATAATCACACAATAGTTTTAGTGGAAATTACGAGTTCATACCTGCACAATGCTTGTTAAAGAATGGAACAGATCAGCGAGAGAATTGAAACCATAAGAGCGAGGGTCCAATTCTTCGTCGAAATGTGATAAATATCTGTCTTTCAGTCGCTCAAATGTCATCTCAAATTCGTGATCTTCTTGCAGAATTTCAACCAGCTGAGAACTAAGACGTGAAAGATTCGCCGAGTCACCTAAAAAGCAAATTAACTGTTTATATTTAACATGATACGATAAATTTAATACAGTATTTAAATAACTATTTATTAAGGCTGATTTATATTACACAACTTTTGCCAAAAACCGTCGTTTTAGGAAAACTTTCCGCAGAAAGAAACTTTTGTAAAATGTGATTGGCCGACACAAATTTTCTGTCTGAAAAAAATTTTGAAGTTGAAAATTTTCAACTTTTAACAATGATATTTTCGGAAAATTTTCTGTCCGTACAAAATTTTCCCGAGTGGACAGGGGTGCACACCCCTGTCCACCCCCTTTAAAGCCATGCATTATTCAAACATGTAGAAATGTATTGTCTTTAACCTATTTAGATGCAGGTTTATTAGCATAGCACATAGCCCGCGTGCAGGCCCAAGGGAGCTGATAGTGGGCCTGCAAGCAAGGCCTGGTATTTTGTAAAACGCCCCTTTTCATAACACGCCCCATTCGCGCGTCAATTGTCAAAAAAGAACCAATGATAGCACCCAAATATTAACAAACAAACTCGCATTAAAATGTTGCGGGGTTTTCTCTGCTTATTCAGAACATAAACAATGTGTAAATGGCAGCGTTTTAACTAAAAAAAAGCAAGCAACGCAGTCAGTAATTGCCAAATTTGCAAGTGCTCATTTTCAACTAAAATCGGGACAGGCAAATTAGGACGAATTTCAACAGAAAACCAGTCTCAAACATCAAATCGTGAGGGAAGTCGTGCGACACATTAGCATTTATATTATGTGTGCTTCGCTGTCGCCATTGGCATTGTTATAAATAAATTGTCTCACTTATCAGATCGTGTGTGCAATTCTTGTTGGCAGCGGAAAGTACGAAATTTATTTCAGTTATTTCATTTGGTAAAGAACTCTACAAAAGAAGAGAGCGTTCAGAGCGTCCAGATCGTTTCGTTTCAAACGGCAATTTAATACCGTCTTCTGTTTCGCTCTCTCAGCGAAACCTTGTACATCGCAAAGTGTTTCGAATAGGCAGGCTTACATGCAACTGCATCTCAACATCAACCAAAAGATAATTTTCTTGAGGAACATGTAACGTATCAAGTCTGTTTGAAATTAATGAAACTCGAGTAAAGGTTACTATAGTTTACCCCAGTCGTAATGTTGCTATTCCAACACCTCACGACAAGCAATCCCCATTGGCATAACGGAAAAAACATCTCTTCCTTCAAGTAAACAATAAACAGTCTGTTCTTGTTCCATTTATAATCGAAAAAAGTGATCAATTTTCGAATTTTGAGCTTATCGAGAGCCTTTGTGATGAATCACTGACCTAATTATGGAATCCAACAGCAAACAGCCAATCAGAATGCCGCGTTCGTGGGCGAACGCGGAAAGTACAAAATACCGGGCCTTGCTTGCAGGCCCACTATCAGTTTCCTAAGTTCCCTTGGGCCTGCACGCGGGCTACATAGCACATTGAACTATAAGAAAACTGGAACGATAACTCCTATGATAAAGGACTATGTTTGGGTGAAGCCAAATTTCGGGCGTTCAAGTACAAGTCAGTTTGTACCAGGCCGGTGTACCAATCTTGAATAGATTATTCCAGCTATAGACTAAATTTTGATCTAGGCAAGAAGAACAAAATCCATCACCACAGCTAGAAAGAGCATGCTAAAATTAGTAAAATTGCAAAGTTTGCCCGCGAAAAATGTTGTAAAATGCGGAAAATATCACCTTCGGAATTTGCAAATTTTGTATTAATTTGTATACGAAAATGCACCACTTTCGGCCCAAATGTGGTGCATTTTCCCGCGCGCAATACAAATTAATACAAAATTTGCAAATTTCGCAAGGCTATATTTTCCGCATTTTACAACATTTCGCAACCAAACTTTGCAATTTTACTAATTTTAACATGCTCTTTCTTGCTGTGGTGATGGATTTTGTTCTTCTTGCCGAGATCAAAATTTAGTCTATAGCTGGAATCATCCGTTATCGCAATCTGCATCATAGCAAAATTCTTCATACTTACATGCACCAGCGCTGGTTTTTTTAACCCACTGTATAGAACGTTTGGTAGCGCTTCCCACAACCTTTACATTAGGTATACGACATAACAGTTCTTCCAAAAGCGACCCAGTAGAACACAACTCGATCTCCTTATGAAACTCCAGCCAGTACAAGGCTGGTAAAGTGACTAGCGCTATAACACCATCGTAGTGATGAAGAAGCTTAAAGACATCTGAAGCAAACGAATTGTCAACAGCCAAAGTTTGCGAGTCAATCTTTCCTTCTAAAAGTGAAATCGTCTGGCAGCCCGCCGAGCCATTAACTACAACGACGTCTTGAATTTGCTCCAAATGTCTCGCATCCAAATGTCGACGGTACTTTTTCTCGAAGTTGGTAAAAAATGTAGCCAAAGGTAGCCAGCCCAATGGGGCTTCTTGTAGTATCGTCACAGCCTCGTCTTGTAAATAACACATTTCTTTATCCCTCTCGCTGGCTATCGAGACATGAACAATCTGACCAAGCACCATTTTGCCCGTGACTTTGGAGATAGCTATATGAGCATCCATAAGCTTAGGGACTTTGACAAAAGCGCGCAACGGTGCTCCGTTCTTTGCATGTAGTACAACGGAATAAACCTAAACACAATTATATTGTTGATTAATAACAGTGAGCCACAAATGACTTTACAACTAACTGGGTAGCTTTATCAGTTCTAAACTATTCTCCATAGTAAAGGCCATCATTTATTGCTTTAGTGTTACTACAGGAGGAAACCTAAACTAAGCGAACTTTAGTTATACTGGATAGTTCTATCAGTTCTAAACTGTTCTTCCTAGAGGTCCAGTAAAGGTCATCTCTTATTGACCCATGAGAGTTACTACAGGAGGAAACCTAAACTAAACTAACTTTAGTTATACTGGATAGTTATATCAGTTCTAAACTGTTCTTCCTAGAGGTCCAGTAAAGGTCATCTCTTATTGACCCATGAGAGTTACTACAGAAGGAAACCTGAACTAAACTAACATCAGTTCTAAACTGTTCTCCCTAGAGGTCCAATAAGGATCATCTCTTATTGATCCAGTGTTACTACAGAAGGAAACCTAAACTAAAATAACTTTCTTTATACTGGATAACTCTATCAGTTCTAAACTGTTCTTAATACAGGAGGAAACCTGAACTAAATTGTATTTATACTGGATAGCTCTATCAGTTCTAAACTGCTCTCTCTAGAGGTCCAGAAAGCACATTTGGTAGAGTCAAAGTACAAGGAATCTTCTAACTGCATATTCCAGAAATCAAACCCCTCCCTCTCACAGAGACGAAAGCCACATGCTAGACTTGGTTCAAGTCCGTTTCAGGAGAAAAGTAGGGAGAGACGGACTTGGGACATTTGCAGCATTTCGAATGTTACTTGCAAAACTTGGCGGGAAAATGTTGTCGTTGTTCTCAACTCGCAAGCCACGCCTCCGTAGGAAAAATCCGACGGTAAAATTTGGCGCGCTTGCAGAGTATCCAAGTCCGTCTCTACCATTGAACTATAAATAAACTGGAAGGCTAACTGCTATGATGAAGGCCTATGATTTGATGAAGCCAAAATAGTTTTTCTGAGTTATGAGCAGAAATACTTGACCCCAAACGTCGGGCAATATATCAAATTGAAGCTATTGAAAATTGCTATTCGGTGTGGAAATTTCAAGACTTCAGCGAAAAGAAAAATATTTCAAAAATACAAAAACAACTGCAAAACGGCAAATTATCGGTAATTATGTTTGTAGTTTTTCAACATTTCTCTTTTAGCTAAAGTCTAGAAATTTCTACACCAAATAGCGTTTTTCAATAGCTTCAATTTGATATATAGCCCAACGTTCAGTGTTGAGTATTTCTGCTCATAACTCAGAAAAACTAAAATGCACTGGCTTCAATTCCCCCCCCCCTGAGTTAGCCTTCCAGTTTATTTATAGTTCAATGGTCGGTACCTACTTTTCTCTCATATTTTCGCGCCTTTTTTGACCGCTCGCGTGCATCGCTATTTTCAACCCCTTGAGAGACGGACTTGAACCAAGTCTAGCCACATGCATAAAGCCAGTTTTCTACTAGGCGGAATTTGTCGCGCGGGGCGGCATTTCTCTGTCTTTTCTAATTACTTCCACCCGAGAAATTACAAGATAAAGTTTTCATATGGCAAGTTTTATTTGCCAGGTGTATGTGTGTACGTACAACAAATTTTCTATGACAATGTAATTGCTGATGGTTTAAATATAACAACCTCACCTTAGAATGTTCTCTAAACACCGAAGCCAATTTCTTTTTTATCTCTTTTTTATCTCTTTTTTCATTGATATTGGTAACCAGTAGATCTACACCACTATACTGTTGTTCTGGAGAGGGGGACCTCCGCACTATACCATTGATTACGGGGCTGAGTGGCGAGGGGGGCGTAGGTAAGGGTGAGTGCGTTGTAGTTATAGGAACAGGGGAGGGTGGGGCCCCACCTTGCAAACCAAACATGCTATGGAATAATGTTGGATGAAACATGTTATTGAACATCACGTGCCCGGGAAACCGCTGACCAGGAAATTGATGAAATTGCGGGCTCGCGTGCCCAGGGGGGTTTGGGAAGCGTAGCGGAGGTGAGTTCTGTACTAGGTTTTCGTTGGAGAAGTTCCTAGGAGTGTAAATATTTGGTGACTGGTTTTCTTTCCATGATTTCGCGTTGATCTTGTTATATAGACTGACATCCATGAGGGGTTTGACTAATGGTGAAGTGCTGGGAGTGATGACAGGGCTTGCGTTGTCTGGCTGTTTTCGTTTTGCAGCCGTTACATCTCCGCTGTCTTTGTTGTTTGCCAGAGGTAGTAACGTAGCGCGCAAAATGTAGCCGAATAAATCTTCTTTGTCCAGCCTTCGTCTGGCTCTGGGAAAACAAGGAGATTATTTAGTAAGAGCGAACTAAACTTTGTCCATACTGGATAGCTTCACCTGTTCTGATCTGTGTCTTGTAGAGATGTAGGATTATCTCATATTGATCCAGTGTTACTGCAGGAGGAAATCGAAACTACACAAACTTTATTTATACTGGATAGCTCTTTCAGTTCTAAACTGTTCTTCCTAGAGGTCCAGTAAGGATCATCTGTTATTGATCCAGTGTTATACGACAGGAGGAAACCTAAACTAAACTAACTTTATTTATACTGGGTACGTGTAGCTCTATCAGTTCTAAACTGTTCTTCCTATAGGTCCAGTAAGGATCATCTCTTATTGATCCTGTGTTACTGCAGGAGGAAATCGAAACTAAATAAACTTTATTTATACTGGATAGCTCTATCAGTTATAAACTGTTCTTCCTAGAGATACAGTAAGGACTATCTCATATTGATCCAGTGTTATTGCGGGAGGAAATCGAAACTAAACAAACTTTATTTATACTGGATAGCTCTATCAGTTCTAAACTGTTTTCCCTAGAGCGCAGTAAGGATCATGTCTTGTTGATCCAGTATTACTACAGGAGGAAATCGAAACTAAACAAACTTTATTTATACTAGACAGCTCCATCAGTTCTAAACTCCATCAGTTCTAAAGTGGTTTTCCTAGAGGCGCAGTAAGGATCATCTATTACTGATCCAGTGTTACTACAGGAGGAAACCTAAACGAAACTACAGTAACTTTATTTATACTAGATAGCTCCATCAGTTATAAACTGTTCTTCCTAGAAGTCCAGTAAGGATCATCCCATATTGATCCAGTGTTACTACAGGAGGAAACCTGAACTAAACTAACTATATTTATACTGGATAGCTCCATCAGTTCTACACTGTTTTCCACAGAGGCGAAATTTACCTAAATGCTGCTTCAGTGTTAGGAAAACGAACAATGGCCTTGTTTCCATTGATTGCCACAACTTTCCCTCCACAGTTATCAGAAAGTTTGTTCAATCTTGCTTTCAGTACGGTCGCATTCTTGGATATAGGGAGGTTGGTGATCAACACTTCGTTAGAAAATGATGGTTTGTACGGAGTCTGAAGTTTGAAAACAAACAAACAACTAACAATAAGAAGTTGGTAATCAAGACTTTGTTCGAGAATGATTGCTCGCACGGAGTCTGAAATTCTAAACATTATTTGATAACCTAATTATGTTTTTTTCTGTGTTGGTGTTGTGTACTCAGGTGAATATGATGTTTGTGATGTTACTCTGAGTGTATATCCACACCGGACGAGCTTGAAAAATATGCCCAGCCACGGTGGGAATCGAACCTACGACCTTTGGAATACTAGCCCAATGCTCTGCCAACTGAGCTACGCGGTCAGGACGGTTCGAGTAAGTGATATTTCGGAACAGAATCTAGTTCCTTCGATACCAGTGTAATCTAGTAATATGATTTTTTTCTGTGTTGGTGTTGTGTACTCAGGTGAATACGATGTTTGTGATGTTACTCTGAGTGTATATCCGGTGTAGATATACACTCAGAATTATGTTCTGTTTAATAAACTAGAAAGAATGTTTTATTAGGTTTCAAACTTCAACAATAAACAACAACAACAGCACCAACACCACCAACTAGGGGTGCACCGGAACCAATTTTTTAAGATCCGGCCGGAACCGGATCTGGCCAGAACTGGAAAAAAGTTCCGGCCGGAACCGGAACTGATTTATTAAGCCATATATGGTCATACGTTACTTTGTCTGCTGCCAGACAGGCAGACACTTCAAGTCATCAAGGAGAGAGCTCGCAAATGTTACAATAAAAAGATTGACAAACGTTAAACGTCATAATGAAGTGTTAATAGTGTATATTTTCCTTGTGTAGTCCAAATTTCTTCCTACTGTGAACTTTTGTAAGACACAAAAACGTCTGAAAATAACAGAGTTCCGGTTCCAGCCTTGCTTTTTTTATTAGTTCCGGCCGGAACCGGAACTCTGAAATATCGGGGTTCCGGTGCATCCCTACCACCACCAACAATAACAACAACACCACCAGCAATAATAACAATAGCAACAACAATAAAAAAACGATAACAACAACAACTCTACATAACATACAAAAAATCTACACTACCTGTGAAGCTGAAAACATCTGAAGATCCTCTGTGAATAGATCAAAGCGATGCGTCTCATGAGCGAAACCAAGCAAGGCTGATGACGCAGCAGCGTTATGCAGACAAAAGATTTGAAAGTTATGACGATGCCTCAGATCAGATAAATCCATGGCAAAATTTCCATCTCCCGAGATAAGAATAACAGTCGCAGGTCGACTGTAAGTCTGCGCAAAACGACGCAAACTTTGACGCAATTTATCATCCGCTGCGTTCTTGGACGTCGCATTGATGTGCACAACGGTGACCTGAAGAGAAACTAGGAAAATAAGTTATTAACCAAAGGCGCATTGTACTGTATACAGCTAATTCAATGGACCAATCCCCAATTAACCAAAATTTTGATCTCAACAAGTCTAGACAAAATTCCATCATAGCATGAAAGAGCATCACAAATTTAGTAATATTCCAAAGTTTCGTTGTGAAATGTTGTAAAATGCGAATATAGCCCTGCGAAATTTGCAATTTTCAGTCATTTTGTATTACGAGCGGGAAACGGTTACCACTTTTCCAAAATTTTGATCTTAACTAGCCTAAACAAAAATTTCATCATTACATTATATTTATCTAGGCAAGAAGACCAAAATCCATCACCACAGCTAGAAAGAGCATGTTAAAATTAGTAAAATTGCAAAGTTTGGTTGCGAAATGTTGTAAAATGTGGAAAATATAGCCCAACGAAATTTGCAAATTTTGTATTTATTTGCATTACAAACTTTCGTCGGCCCAAATGTGGAGCATTTCCCCGCGCGTACTGTAATACAAATTAATACAAAATTTGCAATTTCGTAGGGCTATATTTTCCGCATTTTACAGCATTTCGCAACCAAACTCTGCAATTTTACTAATTTAAACATGCTCTTTCTAGCTGTGGTGATGGATTTTGTTCTTCTTGCCGAGATCAAAACTTAGTCAATAGCTGGAATCATCCATCAACAACAATCGTAAATTTCACAGCATTTTCACAGGCATATTCATACGCCATGAGATTTGGACATGCACATAATTTTTAAATGCGGAATGCAAATATTTTGATTATAATGAATTTTTTAATGCCAGTTGTAGACAGTTTCATCATCAATAGTTGTATTAATATGCTGCCGGACAAACTGTACGGAAAAAAAGCCAGTTGTGCTGGTGACAATAGACAATTCCCATTATAGACTAATTTTTTATCTTGGCAAAAAAATATTTTCCCGGAAAGAGCATACTAAAATTAGTAAAAGTGCAAAGTTTGGTTGCGAAATGTTGTAAAATGCGGAAAATATACTGAGCCTTCAAAGTTCGTAAATTTTGTATACTTTTGTATTGCGTGCGGAAATTGCTACCACAATTGGGCCGAAAATGGTAGCAATTTCCGCACGCAATACAAAAGTATACAAAATTTGAAAACTTTGCAAGGCTATATAATAAATTTTCCGTATTTTACAACATTTCGCAACCAAACCTTGCAATTTTACTCATTTTAGTGCGCTCCTTCTAGCTGTGGTGATTTATTTGCGTCTCTTTGTCTAGTTTTAAAATTAGTCTATAATGGGAATTGTCTATTCGTACCGGACCAGGGCGCTTATATAATCGCCCTGTACCGGACAATGTCAGTGACTGGCTGCTTATTTTCAGGCTTGTGTCAAGGTATGGGTATAAATATCAAGATTTTGTTGGTGAAAATCTTAGTTTATTTTACCTGAGCTTTATTGAGTTCCTCAATGACCGACTTCTTTTCCTTACTCGTATCACACACACACATGAATTCCACTTCCCTCTTCTCTTTGAAAAACACGCTACGTATCTTCTGTACAACAGCTTGAGCCGATTTGCCCTTGGGTACTGAACAATTTTCAAAATCCCAAAACACTCCCACAGGCTCCAATTCCTTTGAAGATTTCTCATGACTTGTAGAGGGGCTGACGGCATTAAAGGTATTGGCTGTCTGCTTATGATTTGTGGTTGATACGTTTATAAACTTAAATGTATTGGGATTGAAAGGTTTCTGTACAGACCAACCTGCCTGTCTGGGAATCGAATTTTGCTTGGGTGATGGACTACCAGAATTAAACGTATTGCCATCGTATGCTTTCTGTATTGGCCAATGTTTGTCTGTTTTGGCAGCCGAATAATCCACTTGCATTGCTTTTGGTAAAACAGTGTTTAAAACCTTCTCATTATCTTTTAAACTACTACATATAGATGAATATTTTTTGTCCATTTTTATATCTGTTTGTGGTTTGTAAGAGTGTTGTGTACAAATAGGTCCAGGGTTAGTAGTAAAATGTGTTTTGTTGGGATATGTGGGGTGAGGTTGGACGATGTCTTTCTCGGCCTGCAGACGGGTTGAGGTGAAGTGTTGTATCGGACCGGAACGAGGCGAGTTTAGGACATTCTTGTAGCATCTGTGGTTTAGTTTTTCATCTTGGTTGAAAAACACAGCTTGACACTGAAAAATAACAATGAAAATATAGGTACTGTAAATGACTGACTGATTAACCAAGGATGGACTGACAAATGGAACAACAGTCTGAAGATTGACGGATTCACTGACCAACCAACAGATTGACAAAATGGACCAACTGACAAAGTAATGGTCAGATCAACTAATTGACTGATGGCGGAGCTTGAAATAACAGCCAATCGCCAATCAATGAATGGCAAGGGTTTCCAACCTGAAAAAGTATGGAAAGTCATGACTGCCGATCACCATGATTGGGAACTTTGGAAACGTTATTTCAAGCCCTGGATGACCCCACAGATGGACCAAAATCAGATTGAAACAGTAATTGACTGGCTGTCGACCCACCAACCAATGGAGTAACAGATGGACCAACAGCCAAATGAAAAGACCCAGGTTTTTTTTTTCAGGACTTTTTTGTGGCTGTTAAATGGGCCCCAAAACTCAATCTTGAATTGAACTTTGAAACTCAGTCATGTCATGGAAAGTTTAAGTACAGTAAGATTGAAGTTGTTCGGGTTGAATTTGCAACGTGAATTCCGAGGGATATGTCCCCCAGACTCCCTGATGTATATGTAGGTACTGTAAACTCAATCTTTTAGACTTTTGTGCAAAAGACAGACCCAGCAAAAAATCCAGAAAAAACCCTGAAGACCGGATGGACTCACATACTACTATGTATTACTCACCTTCATGCAGTTATCGACAGGCTGAGCAAGTTTCTTCACCGCCATTTTGACGTGTTCGAGATAAGCGGAGTGCTCCAAGAAATGTGTATTACAATCTTTATTACCACATTCACCAAAACACTTGAAAGCATTATGGGAAGGGCATCTGGTGACTGCTGAAAATACATAGGATATTGTACCCACATGAAAACACACGTCAAGTTGTTACAAGTACATGCAAACAAGTTGTAAGTGTTACAAATCTGTTCACAAGCTGTCGACAAATTGTGTTCGCATTGCTTGTTCCCAGTTGTTGTAACAAGTTTGAAAAAGCTGTTAACAACTTGTAACAAGCTTGATGGCATTATCAGACTTGTTACAAGGTTAGTCTAACAAGTCTGATACAGTCATGATATAACAAGAATGTTACAAGGTTAACGACACAAGGTTGTAACAACATTTTTATATCATAACTGTATCGGACTTGTTGGAACAACCTTGCTACAAGTCTGATACAACAAGGTTGATACAACTGTTAACTAATTGTCGGTTGTGCCGATCCCTATCATACTTAAGGTAATTCCGCAGTTTTGCATTGCGCACTTTTACTGCACACATCTTATAACTTATAATTTCATCCATTATACGTACCATTAAAAAAAATATCATTTTATGACAATTTTATGTTACTTCAAAACATCTTTGGTTACATTTGTGTAAAGAATTACGTTAAAATCAATGTTTTCAAAAAAGGCATACAAAAGTGTAGCTAGGGTTCCCTGTGTCTGTAGTTTATTTATTTACTTGTATTTCATGTTTTAATGCCACAATTCCCTAAAAAGATCGGTGACCCCCGTTTTTTAACTGATAATTTATTTCTTTAATGCATTTTACATTTCATATCTGAAATTAAAAGAAAAATCATTTCTGGATCTTGAAAAAAAATGCTTTATCAATGCATGTTCTCAAAGAAAGATATGTAAAGAAATGTGGAAAAGACATTTGTGGATCAGAATTTTACACGTTAGTAGTTTCATTTTGCTCAAAACACAATATTTTTTCAAAAATAATTACAAGATAGGTTTACTAAAGCAAAATCTGCACTAAAAATGTCAATAAATATTGGGCTGTTGTGATTTTGCTGTTACTCGTAATGAGCGTCAAGATGGCGCCATATTGGGGTAAAGGTGGTATATTGTGATTGTCATATCTTCTTAACGAGTTCGGTGACCCCGACTTTTTTGTGTGATTTTACTATAAGTATATCATAAACTCCATATGCCTGGAAAGTTTCAGCACATTCTCATTTCGGGAACAATTACTGCGGAATTACCTTAACTTTTGATAAGCAGTCCTGAAAATTCTTGGTCCTTATTGTTTTAGAATTTTCTTCTTTTCAGGTACCATAAACGTTTGTTGCCCGTCACAGCAAAGCCAAGAAAATGTTTTGTTTTCTTATTTAATTTATATGAAAATTGTGTATTTCATCTGACTAGACAACATTTCCATGTAGAATAAAATTATAACTGGCCATTTAGGGGTTTTGTTCAGAAAATAGCCGATCACCAGCTGCTATAATCAACACTGGATCAGGGGGAAGAAAGTTTGGGGAAATGAGTATGGTAATCAGGTGGAAATTATGGGGAGCCAAAATTGGGGGAAAGGGGTTAAATTTGGAAGAGAACAGGGACAGGACTTAGGGTGGCGGGGGTAAGGAAATAGTATAATGGTAAATTATGGGGGGG